GAGTAGTTTCATAAAACATAGATATAATCCAGTAACAATCAACACACTGATCAGAGAAGCGATTAATATTCCCAGAATTTTGTTTTTTAAGCTAGAAACACACTGAAAATGTGTGTCTCAAAACTTTGTGAAAGATTCCCGGAATCACCTTTACTAGCATTTTGACAACCACCCACCCTAAGACAGCTTATTATGAGAAGTTCCCTAAAGAGCTCAAAACTAAATGGAACATGACCCTCCATGCAAAAAAAGATGTGAAACCTGCATGCATATCCACAGCCAGGGGCGGACTGACCATTTGGAAACTCGGGCACTGCCCGAGGGCCCAGGGTCAGTAGGGGGCCCCATGAGATGCCCCTGGTACCTTTTTCATAGGCGTTTTTGAGTTTGGGCAAGGACACAGGGGCCCCATGATCCCCAATTGCCCGGGGGCCCCATGAATTGTCAGTCCGCCCCTGTCCCCAGCACTCATAATGTACCAGTATCTGGATCACAGAAGGAATACAGCATATTTTTTTGCTGCAGATCCACCAATTTAGTATAACCAATATTGTGCGAAAACTGCTCTACAGAACTTTATGTTGGGGAGACAGGTGAAACCCTCTGCCAATGAACAAACCTTAGATTCACAATTAATAACAATAAAACCAACGTGCAGCCCATTTCTAAGGCAACAGTATTAATGATCTCAAGAGTATAGTACTGTTCAGGAATTTCCAATCATCACATTTGCCTGGACTTATCTTGTGGTTATTTCACCCAGTAACACTTTTAAACCCTGATGAATATAGATACAGTATATTCAAACTATTTACAATACCAATTACAATCAAGCGTGTCTAGAAAAAAAAACATATTTCATTAATGTATTGCTTTTCTGGTATATAGGCATTTCAAAAGCACTCTCATTTCAGATTGAGCTTTGTGCCTGGACCTCCTATCTCTAAGTCATTTACTCCAATAACAATTCTGAAATCTGAATTCTGTATCTGTAGCTTTACAGTTTTCAATAGCCTTTAAAATTCAGTGCTATGTGGGTTTCAGAGTCATTTTCAGAATTGTATAAAGCCTTAATAATGGATCTATGGCATATCAAAAGTATGCATTTTAATAACTTAAAGTGGTAGTAAACCCAAAGCCAATAATGTAATATTTTGCAGCTCACCAATCATTAGATGTGGTGGTGGTCCATTAGTTTTTCTTTTTTTTGAGGCTTTTGTCCCTCTGTTTTACCTGGTGATCTGTTCAATAACACACCTTCTATATTAGAGTGCCCCAAACTCTGGAGGAACGAGCACAGGGGGCACATTTGCACAGTAGCATTATCAGTCTGGGAGAGGGGAGTCTTAGATGCACTAGCAGATTTTGATACACTAACAAATTGAAGCTGAATTCCAGCTAACACTTTATAATCAGTTACAGCAAAGCATTTTTTTTCCTACTGGTATAAAGGTTATTCATAATTTAATTAAATAAATAAAAGTGATCATTTTAAGCACTCCTGCCACTGTTACATGGTTTGTAACTGATACTTCTGCAAGAGAGCTTGTTCTTTTGAAAAAACAACATATCAACATACTTGATGAGATAACCAGATGAAAATAAAGGAAAGAAAGCCAAAAAATGAAAACTAATGACGACATCATATCTAAGCTATAAGTTGCAATATAATAAATGTTTATTTTGGGGTTTACCATCACTTTAAGTTAGCCAATAAAGGGTAACACTTCACTCCAAATTTTCTGTATTACTTGATGGCTAACATGGTACAATACACATTGAATAAATGAAATTTGGTGCTTCACATTCTCTCCTTTTTTCTTTTTCTACTTACCTAACTTTTACAATTATAAAGTGGTCCTTAAGCGCTAATGACTCATAGACTTTCCAGCATTCATAAATCTTCCAGACTCATCTTATGCATCATAAGTATCCACTTATCCAGGAAAGCAGCAGTTTAAAATCAAGATTTATTAACTTTTTACTCAAAGATCGTATCATGCTTCAAAGGCACTAATAAAAATGAGGGATGAGACAGAGAAAGTCTTGTTTTAATACACTGTGTTTATTTATATTTTAATTGTAATGGACAATAAACTACATTCCATAAGGAAAATACATGGAAATATAAATTACCAGGTCAAATGGTTTTGTTTAAAGCAGAAAAGAAAATAGATGATAAACTGATTTACCTACAGAAAACATGTAGAGGTGTATTTATTGTCAATTTGCTAGAAATTCACCCAACATTCAGTTTATATTCACTTATTTTTCAACCATGATTTGATTTCCATGTTCACTCTATCAGAGTGGTTTCCTTTCTTTTTCAAACAAACTCACCCATCAAAATGTCATCAAACAAGTTTGGTCCAACATCTGTTCAATTGTAAACTGTATTTTTTATTTTTAACAAAAAAATAACATTAACCCTCCTAATGCTGAAACTCAAAAGTTTCAGCACCATGGAGAGTACATTCGCAAATGAACAAAAGGACATTCCTGTTATTTAAAAAGACAGGCCCAAAAGATTCCCAAATATTTAAAAAAAAAAACAGTTGCTTCTGTCAAGATTCAACTTAGCAAAATCCTGTCAAATCAAACTTGGGTGCATTTACTTTGTCAAAGGGAAAATGTCTTAAATGAATTAATATACAGTGTTTAGTAGATATAGAAAGCCTCAAGTGCAGTCCCCAACATGTATTAGTAAGGTATTTAAATAAAAATGTTCTACCTTTATTTTAGACAAACTGGCATGTTATACAATGCTACTTTTTGGGAAGTTCTCTCCCCTGGCTTCCCTAATTGAATATGTAACAAAATGACAAAATAAAAATTTTAGGAGAATTTTTTCCCTTTGTAATGGTGCAGACCTAAACTGAGGTCTAGAGCATTGTGAATATTTAAATTATAAAGCTTCAGCATTACCCAACTTTATACAAACAAGAAAACAGTTTGGAGTGTTATTTGGAAGGTATGTGAGAAATCAGTGAGCAGTCATGAACAATCAGTCTGTAGTATTAGACATGGAAATGATTTTACTTACCTGAATATTTTTGTATCCCAGTGCACAAGTTATCTGCTTGGAATGATAGGTAGACATCATGTCGCTATTTGGTGATTATTAATTCTATACTGACTTGGAAATTGCTGAGCCTTTTGTGTTTATGGTTTTGTACTTTTACTTTACAAGTAATAATTTCATATTTTTGTTTAGTACAGATTTTACAATGCAGCATATTTCAGTGGATACATAGCAAAGAACTGTATCTTTTCATTACACCTGCAAAGCAGCACTGAATGTTTGACTGCGACTTGAGCTTCGTTATACATTTATAGGGAAAACTGGCATAGTTAGTTTACTTTAATTGGATGTAACTAGAAAGCACAGGATGTGCTATGTGTGAATATCTGACTTAAGGCTGAGTAACATTAATAGTCATACATACCTCTCTAAAAGCTGCCTGTAAGACCCTGGTGTCACACATGAATGCACTCGTGCTTAGGAGGCTGAAACTAACGGTTTGTTCTACCTCACTGTTGAGAAACTGCTCCTGTTCTCTCTATAGATATTTGCATATGCAGAAGAGAAGCAGTACCCTAATCCTTAAAGCAGAGCTCTACCCAAAAGGGGAAGTTACGCTTTAATTAATTGTCCCCAGCTCCCCATTAAGGATTGGCAGCTTTGGGGAGCAGGGGGGAGTGGGTACCCAAATTTGACAGGTAACCACTCCCACTTCCACTGCGATCACCTAGATGATCGGAAGTGGAAGTTGTCCTCCTCCCTCCTCGTAGTCTTCTGGGACATGTGACAGGTCCCAGAAGACTATGGGACCATTCACAATGTATAATGCTACTCAAGCATGTACAGTGGGCACCTGGCTGTGAAGATGCAAGCTGTCACAGCCGGGTGCCCACACTGAAGATGCCAGCACCAGAGAGAGAAGACAGCCAGTGAAACCAGCTGTGGTGAGGACACCGCTGGACCGTGGGGGCAGGTAAGTGCCTGTATTTTAAAAGTCAGCAGCTATAGATTTTGTAGCTGCTTACTTTTAGTTTTTTTTTTTTTTAAATCAAGTTGAACTCCGCTTTAATAGAAGCAATGCCCTGGACATACAGTAAGTTAACAGAAGCACAATCTAGCTGATTGAATGGCTGTTTCATGTTTATGAGTTGAGCTATGCCTAGTACACATGATGAAAATATCAGACTAATGATCATTCATTTTCTTTTTGCATGCTAATCTCATATCGAAAACTAATAGTTTACTAAAGTTACGAAAACTCTCATAAAACAGATTAAAACTTCGGAAGTGATGTAATCTATTGTATTGCATTGTAATGTATTCTTTCATTTCTGAGCATCAGGGCCAAATTAAGAGCATTGTAGGCCTAGTGTTGAGGATTTTGGCGGGCCTTTTTATGGAAATAAATAAAATTAACCAAAGGATTTACCCCCCTTCCTGACCAGGCCATTTTTTGTGTTACGGCACTGCATTACTTTAACTGACAATTGCACAGTCATGCAACGCTGCACCCAAATGCAATATAAGTCCTCTTTCCCCCACAAATAGAGTTTTATTTTGGTAGTATTTGATCACCTGTGTATTTTAAATTTTTTGCACTATAAACAAAAAAAGACCAACAATTTTGAGTAAAAAACAATATTTTTGACTTTTTGCTATTAAACATGTCCAATAAAAAAAATTTAAAATTCAAATTTTGTCATAAATTTAGGGCAAAATGTATTCTGCTACGTGTCTTTGCTGAAAAAAATCCCAATACGTGTAAATTAATTGGTTTACATGAAAGTTATAGCGTTTACAAATGGCGGTATATTTACTGGAATGTTTTTAGTAATGGCGGGGATCAGTGACTTATAGGGGGACTGTGGTACTACAGCAGGCATTTTGACATTGGGGAGGAACTGACTTGGTGTCACTGACATCCCCAGTGACACCAATACAGTGATCAGTGCTAATAAAAAGCACTGACACTGTACTAATGACTCTGGGCAGGAAGGGGTTAACATCTTGGGTGATCAATGGGTTAACTGTGTGCTGTTTCACAGTATGCTGTGTGTGTGCTTTCCACTGTAAGCACACTGCTTTGTATGGCTCTGCTATGCACTAATGCAGCACAAAAGGATAATTAACAGTACACTATCAATGTGGACAGGAAATTAGGAAGGAGAATCTGCCAGCCTATTGCCTTATTTGTACACAGTTCCCTTTCAGTACCAGTACCTCTCTCTCTCTTCCATCCCATCTCCTGGCCTCTGAATGACATCACGCAGGGCTGGGACTAGAAAACATCTGTCAGGTGGAGATCACACCACCTGATAGGGAAGTGAATTTGTACCTTCCAGATGTGTGCCAGGTTCAGAAGTGCTCTCAGCACACAGCTTCAGCTTTGCAACTAGTGTACTGTAGCGGCTGTGATCTGTATACTGGTCTAGGTTGAAGCAATACTTTAGCAGGACACTGCCAGTACTGTGAGTCAGCACATCACCTGCGCCCCCCCCCCCCACCCCAACCAGAAAGGTGTTGTGCCCAGGGCTTCGTTCTGACTCTTTGCACTCCCCCCCATCCCAGCCCTGGTTAGGACTGCCCTCCCAGTGGCCTTTATTAATCCTGCCATCCAGCCCAGACAGTGCGTGTGGAATGCAGGACCAATCAGGGGAGATCTCTCCCTGTCGTCCCATTGATTTCCGTGTGCAGTATGTTCTTTTTGGGTGGCTGGGCCCAGGGCTTTCTCAGAGAAAAGTTGCAGGAACTTGTGTGCTACGTGCAGAGTGCAGGGTTGTGGAGTATGCTATGTACTGATTGCAGATTTGAGGATTGCACCGTGTACAGAGTACAGTACATAGTTCCCCTCCCTCCGCGAATCCTCTCCCACAGCCTTGAAACTTTCATAGAGAGAGGCTGCTGCAGAAGAGCAGCCATAACAATCCTTAAGTGCAGGCTGCCGGTGTGGGTTTCAGGAGGAGCTTCGGTTGTGAGACTAGAGGTTGTGTAGATTCCTCATCCCCTTCCTCCTCTGCTGCCATATACTAATGTGTGAACAAAAGCAGACAAGGGCGCACTCTCATCATGCATTACCGTGGTACACCACGTATTTATTGTGTAGAAAAATGGATATATACTCACAAACCAACGGAAATTAAAAACAGAATGAGTGCTCAGCAATAACAGTCAATGCATTAATGTGTCCTTAATCAGGATAGGCTGACGCGTTTCGGAAGACAAGCCCCCTTCCTCAGAGCTAAGCTTTTTTTCATTTCCATTGGTTTGTGAGTATATATCCATTTTTCTACACAATAAATACGTGGTGTACCACGGTAATGCATGATGAGAGTGCGCCATTGTCTGCTTTTGTTCACTAGTGTCCAGATTTCCCCATCTTTGAAGGGCAGCACCTCTTCATTTGGCATTCTGAAATTTCTTTTGGTCTGCATGAGGATTTGAGTGCTGGTTTAGTTTGTTTGTCATATAGTAATGTATAGTGCAGGGAAGCTCTGTGTGGCTGTCAGGAAAAGAACACTGTTACTTGTTAATACAGAAGCCATGCTTCTGTATTTAGAAGTGACATTAGTAAGCGGCAAGCAAATGACTAGCACCGGAGGTGGCAGAACAGGGTTCTGCCACGTTCCGGTTGAAAAAAAAGCTCTGGCTGGGCCTATAATAAGGTAGAGGCCTGGAGCTACAGCTCCAAAAGCCCCTACATTAATCCAGCCTTTCTGAGCATGCGTAGTCTTGGTCACTTGATTTTGCATGAAAATCATTTGTCCTTTTATCTTGCAAGAAACATTTTAGTGCTTTTCCCTTCAGATATTTTTGCATGAATTGTCATGATTGGCTCCCAAAAGCTGTGTATTAACAAACAGATTATTTGACAATCGATCTGAATGTGTTTTTCATCCAATTTTATCATTGTATGTGCTAGGCTTTAAGGAAGAGCCTGAAAATCAGGTTAACCATGAATTCCCCCCAAATTCTAGCTGTTTGAGAAAATGGCAAACTATCAGGGACACTCATTGCCATAGCAATCATTACCAACCTTTCTGGCCCTTGAACTGTATTTGGGTAGCTAAAAAGGGCCAACCTTTGGGGTATTTGAGTTTGCCGGTCACCTTCGTATAAAAATCACGGTTCCAAAAAACCTTTGTTCACTTCATGTTCAACAGTTATGGAGCAGTCCAGGAAGCAGGGAAAGTTAAGCTGGCCATACATTTGACAAATTTTCTCAATAAAATGGGACAAATTAGCATTAGAGGTGGCCCTGCCGGCCACCTCCCGTCTGACATCCTTCAACTAAAAAAATCAGAAGAGCCAGATGGAAAATTTCAGGTGAACAGTGGCTATGTTACAATAAGATGCAGATGCTGTTCAGGTATTTTGTCAGCCAGTGAGGTCAGCTGTCCAAATACAAATGCCACAGCAGGATTTTCATCCATCCATGTTGTGTAGCAAGGATGGAGGAATCGGCTGGAATTTTATCAGTTTATCAGCTTTTAGTGTTTAGAGCTGATTGCTAAAATAAAGTCTCTCTCTGTTTACAGTCACAGGCACACAAACAATGTTTTACATTGTCTAACAGATTAGGCAGAGATTTAAAAGTTTTTACAGGGACAGTTAGAAGCTGCAGCTGATAGCTGCAAAAGTGCATTTGTTTACATGCAGTCACAGACACACTCACCTAATTTATTTATTTGAAAGTGCTACAGCAAATTAGGAAGAGATTTTCAGAGTGTTTTGGGGGACACTTACAAGCTGGTGATTATTGCAGAAAATGGCCATATTTGTATTGAGAAAGAGGGGTTGATTTACTAAAAGCAAATAGTAAATTCTGTTCAATTTGAAAGGGACGTTTCTCTTAGCTTAGTGAGTGAGGTCAAGCTCTGCTGGCTTCCATCATCAAATTGTGTGCAAGCAAGTCTGTTTTTTATTTTCCTTGCATGTGCTTAGGTATTCTTTGCAAAGTGAAGTTTTACTGTATAATATTCACTATCCTAAGGGGAAATTCCCTTGCAAAGAGAACAGCCTATTTTCCTTTAGTGTTTTGCGAGTCTGTAGTCATCGATAATCATAGCAGATGAGAATCTGTATCACTGGACGAAATGATTGATGACGGATGTATAGTATATTGTGGGATATTTTTGGGTACTATTATTTTTTTATTTATTTTTTTGATAAAGGACTTGTCGAAAAGTGTGGTGTCTTTATTTACTTGTTTACATTTTTTTTTGTGAATGATGAATTTATGTATACCTTGCTCATTTATGTCGGGCACTTCCAGATTACGATAAGCCCCCCTGTTTGCAAACTCCTAAAACCACTGTACTAAGATTGTGGGGAAAAATCCCTTCAACTTGGGGACAAGTTACTTTTCCAGAGAGTTCCTGCTGGCAACATACCCTTTCCATGTTGCGGGCATGTGGCCTGGCATGGTTTGGGAAGAGGGGGACCCCATGCTTTTTTTTTAGCATAGGATACACCGTAAAATCTATACCAGACTCAAAGGGCCTGGTTTAGAATTTATGGTGCACCCCATAACCTTTTTCTGTGTAGGGTGCCCCTTGTAATCCATACCAGACTCCCAGCAAGGATATGGGTGCCATATCTATTTTTAGGGAGAAGCACATGCCCATTTAGTGTGTGAGGTCCCCCACTAACATTTATACCAGACCCTCATTTAGGATAAGAGTCTGGTGTAGATGAGGGGAATTCCCATCCAATTTGTTTACAGACAGAATTAATCAACTAAAACAGCCATTTAATAAGTCAAAACTCTATAATATCCCACAGAAAAGTCAAACTTTCACCCTTGAAAGTGCAAAATTAACATAAACCTTTTCAAAATCTACATACACACATAACCTCTCCCACAGTCTCAGACTGTAAATATACTATCCATGATAAATTCCCACATTCAAAATAAAGTTCAAAAATAAAAATTGAAAAATTGAAAATTAAAAATTAAAAAATTAAAAAATTATAATCCTTGCTGCCCAATCTTCAAACTGTGAAATATCCAAATCTTCCCTTCAATCCAAAGAACCTCGAAAAAAAATAAACTAGATATAGTGCATTATCTTAATAAAAATTATAAGTGATATCATGCAACCACACAGGTGATATACATATACTAATAAAAAAACACCTGTGAGGTGAAAATCAACACACCACTTCACAAGTGGCCCTGTGAAACAACCACTGCAATACGTGAGATGTAACACATACACAATAAGTGATCATTCAAAAATAGTGCCAAAAATAGGTGCCACCATTCTGCATATGGGATAATATACAATTACCCTCTTTCTGCTTTCAAAACACTCTGAAATTTCCTTCTCCCAGATGGGATTGCCTTCACTGGGGGTATGCTTTCCTTTAGCAGGAGTGCACAGTTGAATCCCTTCCTCCTGTAGCAATGGGTATCGGGATCCCCGTTCCTCACAGAACAAATGGGGGCAAACTCAGTGGAGTAGTAAATATGGTATACACAATTTATTAGCAGCTTACATTATCAACAGGTACCGTCCATCCTCGATAAGTCCGTTATAAGCCGAAACCACCTTAAAAAATGGCCGCGCTGCTCCTTCCGGCCTAGCGTCTGACGTCACGAAACTGACGCGTTTCGTCACTTCCGACTTTTTCACAAGGGATCTTTCACAGTTTGAAGATTGGACAGCAAGGATTATAATTTTTTAATTTTCAATTTTTCAATTTTTATTTTTGAACTTTATTTTGAATGTGGGAATTTATCATGGATAGTATATTTACAGTCTGAGACTGTGGGAGAGGTTATGTGTGTATGTAGATTTTGAAAAGGTTTATGTTAAAACAGCCATTTGTTGGCAATGTGCATTGTAAGAAAATATTGTGCCACTTCATGGGTAGGTCGAAGGCTGAAATGAACAATTGAGAAAGATCTGAAAAACTTTAGTGTTTCTGCTGCAAACGTAGAAAATGAATTTTCTCTGAGTGTCTGCAACTGCATAAGGTAGCATTGGCTTGTTTTAAAGTTTATTTACTGCTTGTTAGGAATATGTAAATAATTGAATTAATATCCAGTATGAATTGAATATCCACTCTAGGCAGCTGTGAATATAACGTGGCAATCTCTCAATGTGGTGTTAATGAAACACTCACTTCACTCATCCAAGGTAAAGTAACAGCGTTTTCACATAGTGCCCCACGCCTTCCCCCCAACCTCTGATACTTACCTTGCCAGCACTCCTTCACCATTCTAAACATTCTCTGTTTTAGCTGATGTCAGATGCTAAGGAGGTTGGTGACATAACTCCAGTAGTCATAACAGTGCTCAGGCCTGGTGATTAACTGAAAGACCTGAGTATTTTTTACATGGGAGCAGATCACATGTACATCCATACCAAGATGAATTGGGCTTTGGCACTAGCAGGAGCAGCAAGGGAGCACTAGCAAAGCTGGTATTTAGGGTTGGGGGTTCTTTACAAAAGAACTTTCATTTTGTTTTGAGTGGGCAAGGTGGCAGTGACTGTATAATTTGGGTTATATTAATATCACATGCACCTTTGTCCAGTAAACTAGATTTTACGAATGAGGTTTGGGTTCACAATGGATCCAGCAGGTTTAAAAATTTAGGTCCAAAATGACTTTGTAAGTTGGGCTATATTCATAACACATGAACCTTTGTCCAATAAACTAGGTTTAAAAATTGAGATCCAAGTCAATTCATTTGAAAATTTGTCAGACAGAACTCTTTGCAACCAAAATGTCCTTCATGGCCTTTGAACTTAGGTCAGGTGGCCTATAAAGGCCAATAAAGGGGCTGCATAAACCAGCCCCCTCACTATAAAAGGGTGAGGTCAGAGCAGTAATATTGACAATGTGCTTTATCTATGACAGGGAAAGCATAGGGAATTTTGCTAACAAACTGCACAAGGATAGATTAGTATTAGGCTTGTATGCACAGGTAGGTCTTTTAAAGTAGAAATAAACCTGTACTGAAAAAGTCATGTAAGTAACAAATTGCTCTTATGAAATTTGGGATGAAGGGGGAAAAAAAATTGTATTGTTTTTCTTCCCTTTGTTACATCCTAATGCTGCTGATGACCTGCAGCCTCTTTACAGCCTATCCCTGTTCAAATGAATTGCAGTGATAACAAACTGCATGTGTTTTTTCACAGGGTATATTTCCTAACTATTGCTGTCTGCAATAATTTCTTTTCACTGGCCTTTTTTAAGCTCCTGCTGTCCATGTAAGGTATGCATGCATCCATGGGCAGTAATGGTTGATGTGCATGCCCTGCACAGTAACCAAGCTATCAAACATAACTCCTGGTCTTTGGTAATGATTGGGAGCCAGGGAGACCAGCTTCTGATCACATGATCACTGTGACATCCAATCACAGTAATCAGGTGATCAGGCAAACTTTCCAGCCTACTGGGCATTAAAGGACCGGTCAGCAAGGGGTTAAACGGTAACTCTGACAACAGTGGAATATGCCTGGGCAATGGTCATCAGCACCGAAGCGTATAGTTTCCTTTAGGAGAGCACATAACAGGGTGATTTTACCGAATTTGCTTGAGGTGTTTGAATTGAAGTGATGGAGTACATTTTCTGATGTGCCCTACTTGGGTACACAGATCTGTACACTCATAATCTGTCCACAATAACTAACTGATAACACCTTTGCACTTTTTCTATTAACTTTTTTTAGACTATACCTTTTAGCTTAGGGTGATTAGAGCATATCAGGCAGTTTCCGCTGTCAGTCTATTTAAGTGGCTTCACAGACTTTGGCACAAGGCAAGTGTTTTGTTACATTCAAATAAATATGGTTCCCCTCCCTCCTAGATTGTAAGCTTGAAAGAGCAGGGCCCTCGAACCCCTCGTGTATTGTTTTGTTACTGTATTGTCTCATGTACTGTCCCCCACTATAATGTACAGCGCTGAGCAAACCTTTTGGCGCTATATAAAAACTGTATAATAATATGGCCATGGGCAAATTTGGGCAATGATGTAACCATTATTCCCGCCCCTTCCTTTATCTAGCTCTCCCGTCAGCTCCTGCACACTGCTTTGTATGGCTCTGCATAGCAGAGCCGTACAAAGCAGTGTGCTTACTGTGTAAAGCACACACACACAGTAAAACAGCACATAGTTAACCCTTTGATCACCCAAGATGTTAACCCCTTCCTGTCCAGAGTCATTAGTACAGTGTCAGTGCTTTTTATTAGCACTGATCACTGTATTGATGTCACTGGAGATGTCAGTGACAGCTAGTCAGTTCCCCCCCAATATCAGAATGCCCGCCGCAGTCCCGCTATAAGTTCCTGATCGCCGCCATTATAAAAAAAAAACTAGTATAAAAAAAAAATTTCCAGTATCTACACCGCCATTTGTAGAAGCTATAAGTTTCACGTAAACCAATTAATTTACACGTATTGGGATTTTTTTTTTTTTTTTACCAAAGACATGTAGCAGAATACATTTTGGCCTAAATTTATTATGAAATTAGATTTTTTTTATTTTTTTACTGGACATATTTAATTGCAAAAAAATCAAAAATATTGTTTTTTTTCTCAAAGTTGTTTTTTTTTTATAGCGCAGAGGCGATCAATTACCACCAAAAGAAAACTCTATTTGTGGGGGGAAAAAAAGGACATACATTTAATTTGGGTGCAGCATTGCATGACTGTGCAATAGTCAGTTAAAGTAATGCAGTGCCGTATCACAATAAAATGGAGGGCAAATGGTTAAACAGCTCTGGAAGGCAAGTGGTTAACACCTCTGGGGGACAAGTGGTTAACAGCTAACAACAGGAAGGAAGGTAGTGCTGTATGTGATGTTCACAGCCTGCGAATGCCCGAACAGCTAAGGTTCAGTCTTACCAAACCTTGAAATGACCCCTATTTGCTACTGAAAAATAGAACTTCAGCTCTTTTTGGATGGTATAAAGGAGAGAAACAGCCACAGCAACAACTAGAATAGCAAGGAAACATGTTTGGTCTTTTCTCAGTAAAATGCATACATTTTATTTATATATTTATACAGTATTTTAATTTAATTTCTATTAATGATAAAACTTTCCACATCTCCATCTCTTAAATTGTGGCCTAACAAAGCTGCCTATATACAGTCCAGTCATGGTACAATGGTTGTAGCTATTGTCTCTCAAATAATACACTATAATGTTTATTTTAAGATAAAACATTACTTGTCCCATTGTCTTTTTATATTATCTTGTTCCTCTTGTCTTTTTATTTTGTGTCCTAATCAAGCTGTTTACATAATGTTCAGCCACTGAACACCATGCATGGCTATTGTCTCTCACAAAATACACTATACCTTTTTTGCAAGATAAAAAGATTTGTTGCCTATCTAAGTGACTGTGTACTGAAAAAATCTCAAAACTATAAAATGAAGGCCCTTTTCAGAGGGGGGCGGACGCTGTCAAGAAAATCTGCCTGCTCAGCAGTGGATCTCTCTGCTGATCCCCGCTGTGCAGGTGGATGACAGGTCTGTGTCTGCTCCGCTATGCAGAGCATACATAGACACAGCCCACTTTTCTCTCTGGGGCGATCTGAATGAAACGAACTGCCTGTCCATTTCCATCCAACTGTCATCCGGACCTGCCGGAAGGAATGGGGAATGGATGCCAATCTGTCTGTTTTTAGCGTACAGATTGAATTAGATGCCAGCAGGTGTCAGCGGACCCGCCCCTCCATAAAGAGCTATAGATGGTCCGATCGGGTCCCCCTGAAAAACTGACAGGCAGACCGGATCAGACCGTCACTGTGAAAGTGGCCTAAATTGTTTTGTTACTGGCCAGTTTCTATGATGTTTAAGGCTTTAGCTTTAGTTTTTCTTAAGAGTAAACTTTCCCAAAGCTTTTAGGTCTTGGCTGATATATCCATTGGTAAGTTACTTCTTGATAAAAAAAAAAATCAGGTGTTGCAGCCAACACTAACAAAAAAACATTTTATTTTTTTAAATTTAAATGAATCATGGTGATACTGTTGAATTTGAGCTAAATGTAAAAGGTAAAACATAATTTACACATCTAAAATATGTAATGCCAGAACCCAGTGTCTCTGATATCTGCGAAAATCTTACTATGCTGTATACTTCACATACAAGCATCTTCCATGTAGCCAATTTAAACGATTTGTGTTTTTTTCTCAAAGTCACATTAAAAGGATCCTCTCCCCACAGTGTGGTAGTTTTAGCATTCCATTTTTGAACATAGCTTGTCTATTGGCCTTGATAATGGCCATAATTTAGTATTAAGATCTACCCCTTGTCCCTTTAGGCTCCATGTACACAGGACACTTCTGAACGATGGAAACTGACTGCTGGAAAACGTAGGTTAAAAAAAAACGTCTGTTTAGCCGCGTTTGCATACTGCGTTTATGTGCATTTGCGTTTAGAAGCGTTTTTTTTCAAAGATAACCTCAGGAGACCTTCCAAAATGCCCAGAATACACTGAAAAACAGTAAAAAATTAATTATTTCAGGCATTTTGAGAGAAACAGAGAGCAGAAGCAGAGAAAGCAGTATTTGTTAAGATCAGCTGTCTTTTTTTTTTTGTGGTGTTTGGATGTGTTCCAGCTCATTTCTGTGCAGAAATTATTGCAGCAGTTTCTAACATATTTTGTTTCATGTGAAACCTCAAAGTATGGTGTACTCGGTCCATTTGAGTACTGGGAAAAGCTTTGCATGCATTTTTCATGATGAAAAAATGCTCTGGAAATGGAAGAGTTAAAAAAAATTTCCAACTGCAAATGCTTATAAACGCAGTTAGCCACGTTTACAAGCGATTTGTTTTTGAAAAGCTGATAAAATCTACTCCTGAACACAAGTTTGGTGCGTTAAAAAAACGACTGTAAAACTCAACTGCCTGTAAACGACGATGTGTACATGGACACATAGGAAAACATTAGGGAGAGTTCAGAGGCTGCTGAAAAAATGCAGAAAAGCTCCTAAATGTGAGTTTATCAGCTGCAGTGTACGTGGAGCCTTATTTATTTATTTCAGGTGCTTATATAGCGCCGTCAATTTATGCAGTGCTTTACATATATATTGTACATTCATATCAGCCCCTAACCCTGAAGGGGTGTACAGTCCCTAACTTACATTCATACACTTACTAGGGCAGGGGTGGGCAAACTGTGGTCTCCAGCTGTTGCAGGACTACAAGTTCCATCATGCCTATGCAAGTTATAGCTGTAACTGTCAGTTTTGTAATGTTGCAATGCCTCATGGGAAATATAGTTCCACAACAGCTGGAGAGTTTGCCCACCCCTGTACTAGGGCCAATTTAGACAAGAGCCAAATCACCTACCAGCATGTCTTTGGAGTGTGGGAGGAAACTGGAGTACCCAAAACAAACCCATGCAGGCACAGGGAGAACATGCAAACTCCAGGCAGATGGTGCTGTGGTTGGGATTTGAACCAATGACCCTAGTACTGCCAGGTGGAAGTGCTAACCATTTAGCCACTGTGCTGCCCAGAATTTACACCACGGTAGATTCATTCCTCCCTATTAGATTCTCTTTGATAAATACTAAGGTGCAAAAACAAATGTCTGCATTACATTTTCTACAGAGATCAACAAAAAATGATTTCTGACATTACAATGCAGATCTAACCTACTGGCCAATAACATATTTAATACAGTGAGCATTAATTATGTTGTCAGCCATGGTATATTTCTGTCATTTATGGATGATAAATTACACAATAACAATTTCTATATTAGCACCAAATGCCTAAAAATATGCTGTCCAATCCTGCACATTGATTCTATGTTTGATGTGCAAAAAAAATGAAAGCTCTGGCCTCATTAGATAACAAGTTCTGGTTAAAGATCACAAGGATACTCTCTCTTCATTTGTATGACACTGAGTGGTCACAGCAGGCAGTTGCTTTCACACAATTGATTTCAAGCAGAGTTTTGTCTGATAGATGCTTCAAGATTATGACAAGAAAGCATTTTATAATCCTCCTGCCAATGCAGTTATGTTTAACAGACATTCAACTCTTATCGCTGATTGATAACACTTAACTCAAAACATATTTAAGCTTCAGGAATGTCAATATTTTGCCGCCAAGTGAAGGTGACCCTTGCTCCTCTTGTTTGTTAAATGCACACAGTGGTTTGCTGGTAAATTTGTAAGGGTGGTTATTATGTGGGCAGGCTGTTATGGATTTACTATCTTAGCCTGAAGTGTTTGCTGCTGATTATGCGATTAAATCAATAATAATTTCTGTTGGACCCTGTGCTTCTTGATTCATCTTCTTTTCCATGCTGTGGAGCAGAACAATGAGCCTGAGTACTTGAACGTTAAGTGCTTTGTTGTGAAATAAATGCCAGCAGTAATGCAGGTGCTTCCGAAATAATTTCACATGGCAAAACGCTACCGCAGCAAGACTGGTATAGTTAACAAACTCTGTAAGGGGGGTATACGCATTACAGATGCTGGGTAGGGGTGTCTCCTTAATCAATGTTCTAATTATCGTGTCGCACCATAAAGCTTGCCAATTTGGTTTCATTAAGTATGTCACCCTTATGATATTAGAATGGCTTACATATAAAGATTCTTTCCTACTATTTCGCTAATCCACACTAATTTACATCAGAACTAAAGAAGCTTTGTTTAAAAATGTAACCCTTGGAAAGTCCGCTTTTGCCAAATGTACATATTCAGTGTTCAGTGCATCTAGTGCAGTACAGAACAGGAAACAAGGAGAAATCTTCCAGTGGGGACTTCTGTTCTGATGACAGCTGTCTAAGGCTAGGATCACACTGATATGTTCCATCAGTACATGTGTGTTGCTGTGTAATAACGTGCATTGCATGAAAGTGTTACTAAACCCAGGACCCTGCATTCACTCTATCTGGTCTCCCACAGTACACACAACATGGAAATGCAATTATTTTAGAAAATTTAACTGCTAAATACCTTTTCTCATCAGCAGTTAGAGCAGTCTTGTGACTTCTATCAGTGTCCAGCTGAGCACCTGTTAAAGCTTGTAAGAGGAGTTTTCTTTCTGCTGTAGGAAGATGCAAAACCCCTGAACCTCTGTCTGGACAGTGCTGATTGGCCATGTGCTGATCACATGCACTCTCCCCAGAAAAAAAAAAACGTCTCTAGCAATACAAACTAAACTGAGCATGTGCATGTGGCTACGGGTTCAGTCTGTCTTATCAGGTGGACATTTGAACAAAAGGAGGGACAGAGAAAACAAGATCAAATGGCCTTTTACACAGTGCAGAAGATTAACCCCTTAGGTTCCACAGTGAGTATAACAAGCATGCTTTACTGCATATACAGA